CTCCATCCTCATACACTGCCACTCCGCTTTACTCAATCTTCACAGACCTGCCCTTGCCTGATTTGATTCCTATCTCTCTCACTGTCTTCCCAACTCCTCCCTCCACAGGCTGCAGATAATCCAGAACTCTGCAGCCCGTGTCCTCTCCCGCACCAAACTCCGTAACCCCATCTCCCCCACTCTCGCCCGACTCCATTGGCTCCCTATCCTTCAGAGGATCCAGTTCAAGATCCTGGTTCTCACCTACAAAGCCCTCCATGGCCTCGCCCCACCCTACCTCTCCGACCTCCTAACCTCCTACCAACCCGCCTGATCCCTCTGCTCAGCCGGCTCTGGCCTGCTCCATGTCCCCCGACCCATCCTCCCCACCACTGGCGGGAGAGCCTTCAGCCACTCTGCCTCCAACCTCTGGAATTCCATCCCCCAGTCACTCTGCCTCACCCCCTCCTTAGCCTCCTTCAATCCTGCCTCAAGAGCCTCCTCCTCAACCATGCCATCGGCCACCCCCCTTTCCCTCCCCTCCCTTCTCCCCCCCTGACCCCAGCTCAGGTCTGAAATGCTAGACACTGTCCAATGCCTTGGGACGTCCTCCTGCCTTGAAAGGCGCTATACAAATGTAATCTTGTTGTTGTTACGGTCTGGAATGCACTGCCTGAAAGGGTGGTGGAAATGTGTTCAATAACAACTTTCAAAAGGGAATTAGAGGGGTACTTGAAAAGGAAGAAGTTTCAAGGATATGGGGAACGAGCGGGGGAAGTGGGATTGATTGGATAGCTCTTCCATAGAGCCGGCACAGGCACGATGGGCCAAATGGCCTCCTTCTGTGCTATAATATTCTATGATCCTATAATAATCTTTATACAGTAGAATCCTGTTAAAAGGTGCCCCCTTAACGTGAGTTCACTTATAAGGTGGGTATCTGGGGACCTGCTGTTGGATTAACTGTACACCTTCCTGCGTTAACATATGCACAACACTCAGTGTTGGTGATGATCCGATGACCGGGAGGCTTCCCACGCTCATGCACAGTGTCATCACCGGTCATGTCTTCTATAATGTTGTCATGTAGGAACATTGATTGGCTTTCGAGCCACGTTAGAAGGTTGACTGAGATTTAAAGGACCTCAACTACCATGTTATAATGGGTTTAATTGTATACTCTAATGATTTCCCTCCTCTCTGAGGAAGTATCAATACACTGTTTGACACCCTTTCCCTGAAGCACTTTCCTGATATCACCCATGCTCTTTGAGGTTTGCTGGTGGTAGAGCTTTGTGGCACTTATTAGTGCTGGTGCTTAAACAGCACTATCTTATTGCCATGAGTTTAATCTCCTGATACATTACAATATAAAATTATATTTGTAGAGCGTGTTTCACGTTGGGAGGAAGTCCTAAGGCTCTGAACAGTCAGGGATTAGGATCCGGGGGGGGGGGGGGGGATCAGGGAGGGTGAAAGGCAGAAATAGTGGCCGAAGGTGCAGTCGAAGAGAAGGATCTTGAGGGCAAGGGAGGAAGCAAGCAAAAGGAATGTGGGATGGAGTTCCAGAGGGTGGGGACAGGGAGGCTGAAGGTTTGACCGTCGATGGTCGGGTGTGCCGGGCGGGGGACATGGAGCAGCCCAGAGCCTGCTGAGCGGAGGGAGTGGACAGATTGATAAAGGGTTAGCAGGTCAAAGAGATAAGAGGGGGCAAGGCCATGGAGGACCTTGATGGTGAAGACAAGAATTTTGAACTGGATCCTCTGAGGGATTGGGGAAGCCAGTGGAGCCGGGCGAAGGTGGTGTGATTGGCGCAAGCCAATCAGGAGGGCTTCGGTCTTGCTGACGTTGAACTGTAGAAAGTTGGCTGTCATCCAGGACTTAATAATAATCTGCATTTGATATAGCGCTTTCACGTGGGACGTCCAAGCGCTTCACAGAACACTGTAAAGTGAATGACTGTATATTTGTGGGCGAACGCGGCAGCCAATTGCGCACAGCAATGTCCCACAAACAGTCGTAGATTGAAAATGACCAATTTAATTATTGTTTTTAGTTTTGGAGGGATTATTACAGGCAGTCTATCAGGACATCAGTGGTGCTGGTGACGAGGGTGGAGGCAGAGAGATAGAGTTGGGCGTCATCCGCATAAATGTGCATATTATTGCTGAAGTGGACAGAAGGTATGTAAGTAGTTCATAGCAAGGCACCTCAATAACACATAGCTTGATCCATTACTGATAACTATTATTGTGACTATCACCTAAAAATGAGGTGTGTGGACAAGGCAGGTAAATGGGACTGAGAGGATTGCTCTTAAAAAAACTAGAGCAGACACGATGGGCCGAATGGCTTTCTTCTGTGCTGTAATTTTTTATGTTTCTATGGTACAATAACAATTTGCCTTTACATAACGCCCTTCACAAAGGATAGCATCTTGGAGTTTTATACAGTGGCAGGGTTGGACACCAAGCAAAGGAGAAGGGGGAGGAGGAAGTAATCATCGGCATCATCAAAGAGGTAGATGGTGCAGACACTGTTTGTAGGGGCACCTTATACAAAATATAAATCAAAACCTCATCTTGCAGAGGACTAAAAATACTTCTTGCAGATCAGGTTTTTATAAAGCACTGGCTACAGATAAAACACCCGGACTCTACAGCCTTGGATAACCAAGCAGGCTGATATCAGTAATATAGACGTTGCAATTGCGCAGTGCTGGGAATCCACACCTGATTGGGTCATCTGTCATGGTGATGTGGTCCTCCATTTATGAGCCACTGACTGTCACAGGGACTTGTTGTGCCAGAGTTGAGTCTCCTGGCATAGTTGGTATATGATATCAATCTAGCTCTGTGACCATTCCTCAAATACACAGCTAATTGCTTTGATTGAAGTTGAAAAGATGCATCCAGAAGATAACACTGCTACATGTCATAAGTTTAAAAAGTCTCTAGATACTGTAAACACTTGCTTTGTTTCTCCTGCTAACACAGATCTGCTGCTGAACCATGACATCTATCATTTGACCTCAGAAGATGTGGACGTTTTCCCTGAAAAGACGATTTGTCAAAAGACTTGCGCTCAGCCAGGAGTGAAAGATCACTCTTACAGGCAGCCTTGACTTCCATCAACTCCTTACCTTACTTGGAAAAATGCTTTCTTGCATGGACTGAAACTAAGATAAAATGGTTTGTGTTCCTTTAATGGCTCAGTCGGTAAATGCACTGTCAAGCAAGGTATTGCACATGAACTGGAAGTTCTGAATTTTACTGAGCTAATTGGCCTCGGAAGCCTTCGATCAGTGCAGGAGAAAGCCAGATTCCCTGTTCCTGACTGCTATCCAGTGATCCCTGCTGAAAAGTTCACAATCTGTATTTGCCAGTACAGGACAGGAACCAACTTGGTTATGATTCCCCCTCACATGGTCCCAGAGCTTGCCAACAATCATTGCTCAAGCTCACGCATTAAAAATGTTCACTTAAGATGAGGTATTGGAAGATTGCCAGTGACCGTGTAATAGAACTCTCGTGTGAGTCAGCACTGTCGGGAGGGGAGAGAGAGAAGAGCATTGAGAATTACACAATGTCATATAAAAGGTACTATTGAGCTCCATTGTTAAGCTTACTTTAACTGGGAAGTTAAGCAATACAAAAAATTGGTTAGTTGGTGTCTTGAGTAAGTCACTGGGTAGGATAAATGATATTTGATGTAAGCTGAGAGCTGGTATCAATTGAAAACAGAGAATGAATTGATTGAAACTGAACAGAAACAGGTCCAGTTTGGCTGTGGATTGTGAAGGGAGTTGACCAAACCAAGACTGGGGTCAAACTTATAAAAGAGACTACAAGAACAAGAATCCCAAACAAGAAAATGTTTACAAATATTTCTTAAAACTGTTAATCTAATACTGTTAATACTGTTAATTGGCTGTGTATTATAATAAATTCACTTTATAATATATTCTGTGGAGGGATTTGAGACATTTCAACAACGTGATAAAAATGATAATCCTTGCATTTGATATAGCACCTTATCACGTCTTCAAGATGGCTCAAAGCGCTTCACAGAATATACTGTAACATGAATTCACTATATTTTGTGGGCAAAACGTGATAGGGTATCAATTGCAAGGATTATTATTATTATTATTAATCTAGCACAACAGTGACAAATATTCACTGCGGTGTTCCAACGCTTTTGAGGTGTTAACTAGTTTTTCTTAATGGATGGAAATGGAGGATGTAACCAGAATACCACCCAATATAAACTTTGGTTGAACGGTATTGACAAGCTGTGCCTTGTTTGCCTAAGTATGCCCAAAATTGCACCTAATAAAATAATCCCACAGTTTTCTAACTATTGGGATTATTTTATTTTAAAATGTAAGATTTTAAACTTTTTGTAATTGTAGAAAATTCTTAAATTCATTCGTAATTTAGAAGCCGGTTTTCTGCAGCACTTAAAAAGAGGCAGTTTCAAAATTAAGATTAATTTAAGAACTTTCCAACAATTTGTGTGATCTTAAATTTTCAGATAAAATGGTTTTAAAGATGAAATTTCAGGTCTGGAATATCTCCAGATGTTTTTCCTTGTGAAGGTAACGGATTACACCAGAGGTACACTGAGGCTGATAAATGGATTACAGTGTATTCTGCATGAAAACGTGGCAAACTATCAGGCTCGAAAAATTGGTTTATCTGCGTCTTTTTTTTATATCGTTGATTAAAACGATACATCAAGCTGATGAACAAGTTTAGCTCCATGTCTCAAAATGACCCTCATTGTTCAAAGTTTTCAAACAATTCATCTCTATAGCAGTCTCTTTCACAAGCATTCTGTCATGGTCTATCTTTGCTATCAGCCAGCATGATAATCAAAAGCAGTTTAAAGAGATTTGCACGTCACAGAACTGTCCCACTTGCTAAATAATTCTAAATAAGATACTTTATCTAATGATCCAGTTTTGACAACACCCACACAAGAAGCTAACAAAAATAGGAAATGCAAGAGTTACTAACATGTAATACCTATTCGGTCTTCATTTTGTGGATCGGATTTCTTGTATAATTCGGAAAAATTTTTAGCTGATGGAATTCCAAACTGAGGAAGAAAGAAAATAGGGGAAAATATTAGACATAGGAACCCATAACATAAAGATTTCACATTCCTCACTCTGCAAAAATAAAGACATGTGTGTGTCATCGTGAGTCATGTGGCCTAGGTATTATTCGTGAATCGTTATCTTATTTTGCCCACAAATACAGTCACACCACATTATAGTATACCTTGTGACAACGTAATAAGGTGCTATATCAAATGCAAGGATTACAATTAGTATCTCACTTTTCATGGACATATTCAGACATTGATCAAACCTCTACTTCACTGGAACACTGTTACCAACAGCTCTATCTGGCAATCATGGGATTAATTCATACCTCTCTGCTGTGAGAGTGAAAAGGTACAGTGGGAAACACAAATGTTACTCTCATAGTTAAAAGTTTTGCATTTTGCCACAGCTAAACTGAAGAGAGGTGTCAGATGCTTTTGCTGTGAATCAAATGTTCATAGTCTGAAGACGAGAAAGATGAAAAAAGAATAAGAAAATCTTAATTTGAGTGCAAATAAAGTATGAATTACATCTGTACACTCACTAAAAATCAACATTTTTGTTGACCTATTTGATTTCTGACATCCAGAAAGTGGGGAGAGGGTGGAAAGCAAGGAAGCAAAAGTTCCATTGTATTGAGTTATGTTAAATAAATGACAGCTGCACTTTCAACCCCATTTCTTTTTCATGCATCTCTTTATTTTCCAGACGGAAAATCCCCTAAACAGGTACTGTGTTTTAGGTCAAAGAACGTGGGCTGTTAGAGTCCTAAATAGTTTTATTGTTGTCATGGAACCAGTGAAAACATCTTGCTCCGTGATTAAATACAGTTTTAAAAAGATTAGATTCTAAATGAGTCCTGCATTTTAGATTGCTCTGTGATCCGATCTTTAGAGTTCATGGACTTGGCAATTGGCTTAAGAAAAACAGCTTTTGGAACTTTTTTTTAAAGCTAATGAGAGATTAAGCAAATGGATTTTGCTTCTACCTCCAAAATGAACCAAAGAGGGTGGAAAAGGATTAGTTTCCAATGTTTTAAAATGTAAATGTATATAAAAGTTTACATCAGAAATTAAAAAGAAACAAAGTTAAAATAGAAGAGAAAAGTTGAAGAGGGAAGCGAAGCAAAGTAGCAGATTTTAATTAAGATTTTGCTCATGTATTTTAATAGAATCAGTATTACAGTAAAACTAATACTGACATTTGATAATTTTATCACTGTTATTTTAGCCTTGTTTCAGCGTTAGTGTAGAAACGGACAACTTTCTAAAGATTGCTGGTCGAAAAATTCAGAAGGTTAAAAATGGTACTTCCTAATGTTCAAATGGGGAAAGAGCAAGAGAGTCGGACTAGTCAGTAGCTCTTTCAAAGAGACGGAGGCACGATGGGCCGAATGGCCTCCTTCCGTGCTGTAGAATTCTATGATTTAAAAGCTCAGTTTCGGTTTAATTTTCATGGTAGTAATTACAAGCATGTATGCCTTTCACCTTGCTTCAGAACTATTTTAGGCCATGTGAAGGATCTCAGAAATAGGAATTTTAGTTAAGGTCTGAGACGAGGCAAAATTGTAGCCACAAAAAGTAGTTTAATTGCTGTTCATAGAGTGAGTCAAAACATTTCAGCATAGTGATCATAGGGTAGAAATTTTTTTAAAAGTTAATTTAAAGTTGGTTTGAATTTTGGATCAAAATAAAATCCTGGTGTTCACAACATTCATAATGCAACTAGAAATGCAGGATTCAAATTGAAATCAACATTCTGCGATTATGCTGTAGAAGTTCAGCATCTGCTTTTCAGCGCCTTGGGACGTCCTCCCGATGTGAAAGGGGCTCTATAAATGGAATCTTGTTGTTGTTGTTGCTTTGGGAGAATATATTTTCAATGGCTTTGTGTTTACACTCCGTCATTTGGATGAATCTTTTTTTTCAAAGGGGAAAAAGGATCTCGCCTCCAGTGCAGAATGGTTTAATTTGAGGTGCTTGAGTGCAGTTAATATTCCGCGGTGAAGGCAGACTGTGTGCACCACATTAAATTTTGGTTGTCTTAGGAGGTGTCCAGGGTGTCACAGAAGGTCTTGTCACAACAACAACTTGCATTTATATAGCGACCCTCACACAGGGTAGTATCCCAGAGTGCTTGAACATTTCACAAACATGTCTGAGAGTGAATTCACACACATTCAGATTTTACATACCCATTCTCTGTAAATCTAGAGCTGTTCTATGGTGAAGGTTTACTGGCTCTCCCATGCAATGTCTAATGCATGGGAAATTACACTCTTATATGCATGCGCTAGCTGTGCTAAATGATCTCTCTATATTGCTGGGTGTGATGAAATACAGAAGGAACAAAGAAACCACGAGCTCTGAAGCAGTGTGGACCACCTTCACTATAACAACAACAACAAAATTACATTTACAGAGCGCCTTTCACGTCGGGAGGACGTCCCAAAGCGCTGAACAGTCACGTGTCGGGGCCCGAGCATGGAGGGGGGGTGGTGGTGTGGGGTGAGGGAAGGCAGAGAGGTGGGAGGGAGACCAAAGCATGGTCGAAGAGAAAGGTCTTGAGACCGACCTTGAAGGAGGTAAGGGAGGAAGCAATGCAAAGGGACCGTGGGATGGAGTGTGGGGGCAGAGAGGCTGAAAGCCCGGCCACCGATGGTAGGGCAGGTCGGGCCCCAAATGACTTGTGATTGATTCCATTCAGATAATACTCTGACCTCCCCTGAAACCAATGGATTTGGTCACTCAATCCACGACTGTTTGTGGGACACTGCTGTGCGCAATTGGCTGCCGCGTTTCACCCACAAAATATACAGTCAATTCTGTGAACCGCTTTGAGATGTTTTGAAGACGTGATAAGGCGCTATATCCATCTGCATCTGCTATATCTGCCAAATGCAAGGATTATTATATTATTATATATAGTTGTGACTGTTGTTGCTTGAATGAAATGCTACAATGTACAAGTGACATAGTCGGAGAATATTTTTTTTTGCTCAGATGGGTATTTGACAAATGCAGAAACCCAAGCAGAGTTCCATGTATACCACCAACGCATAGAAATGGAATCCACACTCTCTCCTTGGAGGGAGGCATCTTGCTTACCTAATTCTGGAAGGTTGCCAGGTTGTCTGGTACTGACAGCATCATCATACAATGATGCACACTCCACCTTACTAAGCCAGTCCGGAACCTTTGTGTCTTGTTTGATCCTCAACTATCCTTTCTACCCCACATCCTTGCCATGTCCTGCTCTGCCTTCCCCACCTCCGCAACATCATCTGGCTCTGCTGCTGTCTCACACCACAGGCTGCCGAGACCCTCATACGCGCGTTCATAACATCCAGGCTTGACTATGCAAACTCCCTGCTTGTCAGCTTCCCCAACTCCTCCCTCCATAGGCTGCAGATCATTCAGAACTCTGCAGCCCGTGTCCTCTCCCACACCAGGCTCCGTGACCCTATCACCCCCATCCTCACCCGACTCCACTGGCTTCCCATCACATAGAGGTTACACTTCAAGATCCTGGTCCTCATCTTAAAAGCCCTCCATAGCCTTGCTCCCCCCTACCTCTGTGACCTTCCAAGCCCCTACCAACCTGCCAGCTCCCTCCGCTCAGTGGGCTCCAGCCTGCTTCATGTTCCCAGCCTCTCCTGCTGCACCATTGGTGGGCGGGCCTTCTGCCACTGTGCCCCCAGCCTCTGGAACTCCATCCCCCAGTCCCTCCGCTGCACAACCCTCCCTTGCCTTGTTCAAGACCCTCCTCTTCAACCATGCCTTAGGTCACCCTCCTTCCCCCCTACCCTCCTCCTCCCCGATGCCGACCCCCAGCTCGGGTCCGAACGACTGATTGTCCAGGGCCTTGGGACGTTCTCCCGATGTGAAAGATGCTATACAAATGTAATTTTGTTGTTGTTGTTCCCATTGAAAGCAATGTCTGGCAGGCTTGCAGCTGCTTGTTCAGCTAGGACCACCCTACCTGTTAGGGTCTTGACTTGTAGGGGTAACAGAAGCCAAATGGAAAGAATCGCTGCCACCAGTGACAGGTCTGCCCCTCCAAATCCTGCCAATGAGAGTTACCCTTATGTACCATGGACCTGCCTGGCTAAGGATTCAAACTACCAAGATCGTCACAAGAGTCTTAATCTTAAGACTGTGACCTCTATTTATAGATTCTCCTACCAGGGGAAACAGTCTCACACTGTCTACTCTGTCAAGCCCCATAAGAATCTTATATGTTTCTATAAGATCACCCCTAATTCTATATTCTAGACAATATAGGCCTAGTTTACTCAACCTATCCTCATAGGTCAACACCCTCATCCCAGGAACTAACCTATTGATCTCAGCTAGGACCACCCTACCTATTACGGCCTTGGCTTGTAGGGTTAACAGAAGCCGAATGGAAAGAATCGTTGCCACCAGTGACAGGTCTGCCCCTCCAAATCCTGCCAATGAGAAGTACAACAGAATTTAGATATTCTGTTGCCAAACAGGTCTCCTTGGAACAGTTCAGGTCCAAAGAGAACCTGCTGTATTTACCCCCACCCCCACCAGGAGGATGTTGGTCTAGGAATATAACAGAGATGTTGTGACATCGTTTGGGCTTTCCTAGATCTGCTTGATTTTTTTAGGCAGTAGCTACTCCTCCTTTATGTGGTTGTTGGATTATTATCCACTGATTGCAACCTGCCACTTGTCTGACACTGTGTTCAGTAAATTATGCTGTGCAATATGGCCGCACTATACTTCCACTGCAAAAATAAAAACTATACTGGCCTTTATTCTCCAAACGATCAGCTGCCCAAAAAGTTGATCCACATGAAAATTATTCTTTTTACACAGTATTAAAAGAATGTTGTCTGTATAAAATATACCACTTTAATTCTGCTTGTCATGCCTCCTCTTTTATCACCATTCTGGTGGCAGCTTGGCTCAGCTGGTAACAAACTCATCTCTGAATCAGAAGGTTGTGGGTTCAAGCCCTG